CCCCTACACTGCTCTCTAATAGGTCATTTAATGTCTGAATGTAGTGTCATAGTGTAATGTCTGAATGATGTTGCTTCTCAGCTTTTCCATGAAGAAGGAACAACAGAATTCAAAAGAAAAACTTCGCTAGAGTGAGAGCCTTGGCAGCTGGCTGGAATGTTGGACCTCAGAGCTGCTTTGTCCATCACAAAAGAAAAAAAAAAGGAGGCTATGAAATGACGTGACTTAACTCCTGTGGGGAGAGCACACCAAAAAGGCAAACCAGAGCGATTGAGCAGTAGTGCAAACACTACAATATGAATTGTGTTTGGTGAAATTGCAAAGAATTAATATGTAAAAGTTTTTCCCAAGTGTGAGTACAGAGTGATGTTACAGTTGGGCCAAAAGAAGCTGTCTGTCCAATCTCATTTAGTTCCTGTGTTTCTGGACTGTGCTAAATTTTTAGATCCATCTGTGTGCTTCAAAGAGAAGAGATTTCATGTCCTAAATCAAGCAATAAAAAAAGTTATAACAATGTCATTGATGTGGTTCTGTTATCACACAGAGTGACATTATAAGAAGAAATTCCAGAATAAAAAAATGAGAAATGTTCTGCCTGTTCTCTCCTCGTGCTACCTTCCTCATTAATATGCTAGGCTGTGAACTTAAAAACTTCTTAAATATGGATATTTGTGACTTTTGGTACTGAAAATTCCTTTTTCTTGTTTTTCCTTGCAGTTGATTAGATGTGCAAAGTATTCCATATTTCCCAAAATGTGTTATCCAGTGCTTGTGGATAAACTGTTAACATAAGTCTAAAAGCCTTTTGCTATTTTGAACAATTTGCATAACCTTGGAGTTTAAACTGATAGAAGCACAGTTATGTTTGTGAAAGTATTGTTTACTCTTATGAGTCTACATGTGTTTGGAAACATTGCTGCATTCTTTGGTGCAGAAAGCTTTTGATTTTTTTCTTACAAGATTTTGATATTTCCATTCTGAGGTAGAATAAACCAAATTTCCCTTACTGCAAGCAAGTGAATTGTAATTGCAGTTTCAAGTTTCACCTTAGAAAACCTGTTCGCTGTTTCGCCATAGGGAATTCTGTTTTTTTGTCTAGTAAGTAAGCAAGCACATCTTGAACTGTCATCTGAGTGATTTATTTGTAGGAAAGATTTCCTTTTAAAGTTGTCTGTCACAATAGAATCTTGACAGGAATTGGGAGTCTACTATCAAGTTTATAAATGATAATCTGTGTTCTATCGGCACCTGACAGCGACACTGTTTCATTTTCTCCCTGGCCTACAGCTACTGTTCTCTGTGCAGAACAGAGCAGCAGGTTAAATTTACTGTTCAGCATCGTGGCATGGATTGCACAAGTATGGATTCGGGAGCCACATTTAACAACCAGTGCTTACAATCACAGAGCAAATCAGTGTTTTCATTCTTTTCCTGGCTTAGTTTGACAGTAGGTGTTACACTGCTGCCAATAATATGAGTCTTCCTTGGAAAGAAGGAAGGTGGGCTTGAATTTTGTAGTTGTTTTTAACAAGAGGATCTGACAAACAGCATTCACCAGATACATAGGAGAACCAGTTTTAGCTGGATTTCAGATTTATTTTTGGAAAAGCTGCGGAGACCAGAAACAGATTATTTTAATTGTGAATATGTCTCAGAACATCTTGCGTTTTGAGGAACTCTCTGCAAGTGTTAAAACCAGTGAGATTACACACACCCACAGGAGTTTAAATATACAAAAAGGTACACAAGGCAGCTAATTAGTGATATTTGGTTCATAAAAGGCAAAACATGGCTGTCTTGCAGCGATTAATTTTTTCTTAACCTAACACTTTGGGCCTGTTTATGATATCTGCATTTCATATTAACAGTGAAGATTTAATAGAATGAAGCATTTCCAGCTTCAACATGCTTTGCAGTTGAGATGACACGATGGGCCCTTCTCTACAGGAGATATCACAAAATTTTCACAACCTGAGGCAAAATCCTTTTTGTAACTATTTTTTTTCATCCAGAAAGCATGAGCAGCTGGGTGGGGGCGTGAAGAATGAGAGGAGTTTGGAACAGAATGTCTTGAGCGTGTAAATGCTCATATTTGTGAGCAAGAAACAGCAGTCCCCTTCTGAGAAGGGCAGAGTGCAGAATCTATATCAAGCCTGTTTACAGCATTTGAAACAAGGAAAACCATGCAAAGGTAAAATGTGAAAAAGCAAAAACCCTCGGTAAGACACTGCCTCATTTTAAATATGAATAAAACTTGGAAGACAGATGAAGACAAAAGATGGTGAACATTCCCAGGGCTCGTAGCCCTCTGTTTTGCTGTTGCTTTTCAATAGGTGGGCATTTTCTTACCATATGGGAAACTTACTTGTTGCTTTTACCATTGCTAGGGGAGGCTTATGAGGTACCATAGCAAATAATTCCTGCGTGAAATGGAATGAGCACGTGGTTGTGTTCATGTTAAATTCGGTTTGTAAAACTAAAGACTCGAGCAAGGTTCTGAAAGAGTAATGTAGCAGTGCTTTGACTTCCTTAGCGTAGTCTAATTTTATATTATTTTTATTCTGCCATCCCCTGGGCCAATATCTGTGTAACCCATTTGACAGATCTGAACACTGTTAATGAAATCATTAAGTTTTAATTTTTGTCAGTGTTACAAATTTAATCCTTTTCATTGCACGCTTACCTGATGTCTTCTGAACACCTGCTATATTTATAAGAGAGACTGCAATAAAGTTGTAAAGATGACTTAAAAAAAAGCTGCTGCTGGTAGAAAAATAAATAGTGAGTCTTGCACAAACTGTAAAGGTTGCCTTGGTGGCTGTACATTAGGGGAAGCAATTGTAAACTTTTTAATCACAGTTTATATGTTTGACAGTGGTAAGACAAGGAAGCTTTCTTCAGCCTTTAGCTAAACTGAAAGCAGATCTGGGGAGGTAATATTAAAGGATTATGTGTAACTTAATACAAATGGACATTAAATCTTGAATGCATGTATGACTAATGAACACTAATGTAAATGGCTCATAAATAGGTAAAGTGCCACAAGTACCTGTATCTTAATTTACCATGTAGGGGAAACATGAAAGCAGGCATACCAGAATAAAAACTACTTCTTGCCTGTAAATTCTGTAGAAAAGTATTGTAGTTGTTCCAGCTTTACAAGTATAAAGTAGGAGTGTTAAGCTGTTAATACAGAGAAGTTCAAATTAATGTGAATAACATTTTTAAAAATTACAAAAACATACAGATTTTTTTAAGAAACTACATCATTATATTGAGCATTTGTACTGACTGCAGCTCATAGCTTGCATAAACTTAAAGCAGGTTGTTGGAATACAAGCCAGCCATATACCTATAATTCAGCCTATTTTAACTGAATTCACGTTCAGTCATTTCCATCTCTTGGTGTCGTTCTCGTATCTCCATAAACAAACAGCATTCTTGGTTCTTACTTTGTAACATCACTATTGACTACACTGGGTTATTCTTCATGTTTAGTGTTCTTTTGCTAATTTTGTCATCTATTCTGTTTGAAATAACAGCTACTAGAGCATAGCTGGCTTGTGCACTTGGTCTTGTGACAAAAATGTGAGCGTGTACCAAAATTTAGCTAAATGTTTTTCTTTCTTTCAATTTTCAGATTTCCTGTTTAAGTTCTTGGTCATAGGAAATGCTGGAACTGGAAAATCCTGTTTGCTACACCAGTTTATTGAAAATAAATGTAAGTATATGTGAGTACAGTAAGAGTTCTCCATTGCTTTGTACCACAGATGAAGGCTCTGCCTACATGAATATCTATTCTTGTATTAAACTTCCTGTAATTCTCTTGTTTATATAGATGAGGGTTTTTATAATTATGTTCAGAACCATGTAAATCTTTATTGCTCATTGTTTGCCTCTAATAGAAAGCCTGATATTGAGCAGTATTCTCTGTTACTCTCAAATAAATATTACAGGACCTTGATGAAAATAGAGACTTAATTTTTGTGAAAATTATATCTTGTGGCTATAAGCTTCCCTAGACTTGGATCTTGGATCAACAGGCTGCCCGGGGAAGTGGTAGAGTCACCATCCCTGGAGGTATTAAAAAAAAAGTGTAGATGAGGCACTTCAGGACATGGTTTAGTGGGCATGGTGGTGTTCGGTTGATGGTTGGACTTAATGATTTTAGAGGTCTTTTCCAACCTTAATGATTCTGATTCTGTGATTTATTTTTTTTTAATAGAAAAAATACTGAGCAGAGGAAATGAAAGTTGAATTGCTTGAGTAGATTTAGAAAGCCTGTTGGACAGAACTCAAACCTCCCAACATCTAGTCTCTTTCTAAATAAACACTCAGTGTTTTTCAGTGACTCTGTTCTCTGGTAAATAATGTCAAAGATTCCATTGTAAACGTTATTTAGAGATGAATAGATGATATAAAAGAACTTCCTGTGGGTAGTGCATTTAGCATCATGATTAAATAAAAATAATACACATTTAAAAACCTCTGTAAATCTAAGGTGACTGTTATCTTCCTCAACTGAATGGTAATTTACTTTATCTCTTGAGGAATCATGCTAGGATAATAATTTGTAATCACTAAGGAACATGGAATGATTCTATGATTGAATTTAAACCATGACCTTGCTTCTAGTACAAGTAGTTTTATATTGCTGAGAATATGTGATATCAACAGTATACTTACAGCAAGTATCTTCCTGCTTTGAAGAAGTAGCTCTTGCTTATTCACGGGCAAAACTGACTTTTTGTGTTCTGCTTTTCCATGAATTTTAATTTTAAATTGCATCAAAGTATTAGAAAATACAGTTGGAATAAAAAAGTGTACAAAAGTTATCTTGCCATTTATTAATGTGAACTGGGAATTATTTTATTAAGGCAGGCCTTTCTAGTAGTAATTGTGAATTGAATAAGCTGTTCAAAAATTGTAGGAATGTTTATTTCTGCATAGTGGCAGCACACTTACGAGTGGCACTGAATTTGGTGGTTTGGGAAGTAGCTTGTGATTCGAATAGTCAAGAGTTTTGATTATGGAAAACCTAATTATTCACCCTAAATATTCCCCAAATAAGCCTGGTTTTATTTCTTTTTTTGCAGTCAAGGATGACTCAAATCATACTATAGGAGTGGAATTTGGTTCAAAGATCATAAATGTTGGTGGTAAATATGTGAAATTGCAGATATGGGATACAGCAGGACAAGAGAGATTCAGGTACCCTTTTCAATGATTTTATTATGTGTTTGTTATTACATTGTTGCCATGTATGCTGGGTATTATTTTTCCCTGCTTATAAGTAGGCATAGTTTCTTGGTCAGTGGAATTATTTGTCTGCAAACAAAGTAGTCTCCGTTAATGAGATTTCTTCAGTGTGTTGGCCAGATATCCTGGCATTCTGAGAAGCTTGAAGGCAGTTGTTTTTTTTCTTCTTCTTCATTTACCATTTGAAGGGTGCTTTGCTTTGCTGTTCTTGCCTCCTCCTCAACTTAAGGAGTCTTAAATTCTTCAATTGCAGCTATTTTGCTTATCCTCTTAGCACTGCTGAGAGTTCAAACCTAAGTTAATTATGCTGTTTTCATTCCACAGATACAGCTCTGTATCAGGCCATATAGTATGATCATACATGTAGCTGTAGCAGCACACAGGTTATAATGGACTTTGGGAATCCCTGTACAGCTATAATTAGTGAAAGTGCTTCATCAAAATTTAGTTGTAAATAGTCTGTTACTGCACAGCTGATAATGTTGTCTAAAAACCACATTTTATTTTAAATATATAAATGAGAATTGTTTCATAGTATAGATTGTGTTATGCTAACCTAGATTTGAAACCATGAAATTACAGAAATGTACATCTGTAATTCTATTTCAGGTCTGTGACAAGGAGTTACTATAGAGGAGCTGCAGGTGCTTTGCTTGTCTATGATATAACCAGGTAAGAAAACTAGCAAGTCCTTTGTTACAGACTGCCAGATACAATTAGCACGTAATGATTCCCCCCAAGTACCTGATCCTCTAACAGAGAATGGGTGAGAAGAAATTAAAATTAGTATAAAAAGTACTTCTGTTTAGTGTGTATTTAAGTTTTAGAACTTCTTTACATGAGATATTGTGAGTGTCATAAATGTAAACAGTATCAAAAGTTTAGGCAAATACTTGGGAATTGCCCCACCAGTATCTAGTCATGGTGGATTAGAACAGGCAACCACTGGCTCAGGAAGCCTTGCAACAGAAATTAAGAGCAGACTTTAGCCACTTTTAACCGAGCTAGCACAGCCCTGTTTGTGGAAACTGCTTATTTGTATGCTGATGTAACAGGTCATCCTCTGCAGAAGCTAGCTGTACCTACACATCCCTTAATTGTAGCCCAAAATTCTGTTAATCTCTGCATATTTTAATACTATAGACAGCCAATAGAATACTCTGCCATTGCACATTTCCACATTTTTCCTGGCCACCATAGACTAATACTTGTCAGGTAAGTTTTGCTTTGGGTAATGATGACTCACTAGATCTGTTGCTTTTTGTCCTGTGAGTGGACTGTTTTCCTCTGAGCAGTCTTTGAAACCTGTGCTTTGTGCTTAAGGCCAGTTGGACTCATCTTCCTACTTGAAGGCTTTATCTCTGACCACCACTACAATGGCTAAAGGTGTGTGCAGGGTAGCTGCCTGCAGTATTAGTGATCTTGACATAAATGTGAAAATTCAGGCACATAATTCTCTACAAGTGGAGTAAATTCTTACAGTCCCACCTGAAACTTAAGTATCAGTTGCATTCTGTGTTAAACAATAACTCATTCCATTATCCCAAAATTTCAGACAAAAGGATGAAACTAGATTAGTGCTTAAAATTTTAGCTTTTCACATTAACAGGGTATTCTGTGTTTGTGTATATTTATATATTTTGGTTGATTTAATTTTGCTTTTGAAAAGCTTTAAGCTTTAAAATAGTTTCATGAAGGAACTGGATACTCTCAAGTTCATAGCTGGCACATTGAGATATGTAGGTGACTTGCTTGAATAGCAGCAATTTGTGGATTGCCCCAAATACAGATTTGCCTCCTGAGTTTTAGTTCAGTGATCTGTTCCTAGAAATGAGTGTGTTCTAATAAAGAATGTCATTTTCTACATAGCCGGGAAACCTACAATGCACTTACTAATTGGTTGACGGATGCAAGAATGCTAGCAAGTCAAAATATAGTGATAATACTGTGTGGAAACAAAAAGGATCTTGATGCAGATCGTGAAGTTACTTTTTTAGAAGCATCCCGGTTTGCACAAGAAAATGGTACGTAGTACATAATCTTCATGTAGCGTTCCAAGATGCTTAATACTTAAAATAATTTACATTTTTGTGCAGCTAGGGAGTACTTTGCCCACTGTACCTTGTCAAATATCTACAGAAGGAGAATTCTGTCAGTACATGAAGCATAAAGAGAGAACAGTGCCTGCAGTGAGAACTACATGAGCTGCTGAAATCTCATTATCAGTGATTCTTCCAGTTGCAGCTGCTACTTCAAGAATACCTTTCAAGTAGGGATGTATTCCCTAGGGACTGTAATACAACTTCAAGTATTACCTTCCCTCCAAAGGGCTGAGTAGAAAATGAAGAGCATCATTTCCTAGTTTTCAGCTTCTTTACTCATGGGAGAATGAGTTTAGAGCATGGCTTGGATCCAGAGGACTATCACCTGGCCTGTAGTATTCAGAATTTCTAGTCCTTGAGGACACATTTCTGTGGCAGCTAAAGCCAGTCTCAGGCTGAGCTTCTGTGCTGCAGCCCTGCCATCAGCAAAATCTGGCTTTGCTTTTAGAAATCAGTTATAGTCTTTTTCTACCAACTGTGGTTGTCCTTTTGCGTGTAACTTTCTATTAACAGGAAACTAGATGAAGTTCCTTGGTTTCATGTGCTATTTTGCATGCACAACCTAGGTTATTATATTTGGATCCCAGCTTTCTAGGGTTAATGTATGAATATCAGAGAAAGTTTTTTGTGGTTTTAGGAGTTTTGTCATCAAAAGCTAATTTTTCTGTACCATACTATTTGATGATAGTTCTCCTTAAGACATTTTTTTATTGTTCCTAGCTTTCATGCTTTGAATTACTACTATAAGAGATATTCCAGGCTTGTTTTGAGATTGTTTTTCTGGTGTCAAATGCAGAGCTGATGTTCTTGGAAACAAGTGCACTAACAGGGGAAAATGTTGAAGAGGCCTTTGTGCAGTGTGCAAGAAAAATACTCAATAAAATTGAATCAGGTAAATTGCATTTTATATTATTTTAATGTTTGGGTGGGGAGGTTCCCTCCTGAAAACTAAAAGTACACATGGAAATACCACTATTCATAGTCCTCTAATAGAATTCACCCAATGAACCAAAATTTTGTTGTGGTAAAGTGAATCACGTGGTTTTTAGCTGCTTCCAATTTGCTTTATTAGGAAAGGATATCTAAGTCAGATCTGTATATCTGAAGGGGGTGGTGCTGTGAATTATGGATGGTTTTGCACAACATTTACCTTAATAGTCAGCTCTGAGTGTAGGATGTGTGTTCTGTGGGTTGCTGTGTCCCTGCAAACATCAAGCCTGACATTAAGCTGTTTGAAGCAATGCAGAATAAAAACATAGTATCATGGCAGACATAACTTCTAATTCTGCTTCTCATACATAGCAGGATATATAGTCAAGAGAATTTGAACAACAATACAGAATATTTCAGGGATGTTTCCCAGCAACTGTGTTTCTCTGAAGTGTCCTTCCTGCCTCTTGGCTGAAACCATTTTTACTTCTGTAGATCTAGAAATGTACCAGCAACTTCTCAGCACAAGTGGGCAGGTTTCTGTCAGAGACAGGCTTCTGTTAGGTGTTGTTACACCTAATTTGCATTCCAGTTTTTCCTCTCCTCTAGCTGTTTGATATCTTCAAAGTTTTCAGTGTTTGCCCTATGGAGAAGTCTGTCTCAGGCCCTAATTACATGTTTTGAATGCCAAACACAAATTTTTAGATTAAAGGACTATGATATTTTCATAAGAGTTTCCTGAATGCTGCCTCAAATCAATGCCAAATCACAGAATCACAGAATCACAGAACGTTAGGGATTGGAAGGGACCTCAAAAGATCATCTAGTCCAATCCCCCTGCCGGAGCAGGAACACCTAGATGAGGTTACACAGGAAGGCGTCCAGGCAGGTTTTGAATGTCTCCAGAGAAGGAGACTCCACAACCTCTCTGGGCAGCCTGTTCCAGTGCTCTGTTACCCTCACTGAGAAGAAGTTTCTTTAAGTGGAACCTCCTGTGTTCCAGTTTGTGTCCGTTACCCCTTGTCTTATCATTGTTTGTCACCGAGGCTCCATCTTCGTGACACTCACCCTTTATAAACATGAATG